AGGAACCGTTATGGAATGATATGTACGAATTACACATTCAACGTCGTCTGCAAGTCAACCGTTATTGAAGGTAAATTTTAGTGGATAGAACTGTTTTATATTTTGCTTCTGTCAAATAAACGAAATGATTTTTTGTTTTTTATCTCCACTATTACATCCTTTTTTTAAAAATGCAATTCAATATCAAGAAAAATGCCAACATAACAAAATCATATCAATTGCATATTATAAATCATGCTAATTAAAAATACGGAATACAATATTTCCACAATCCCACTAGATATCATATTTTCCAAGTATTCAACAAAAATTACATAGCATTTTAAGACATGCTTATAAAATACAATAAAAATACTACAAAATGCACGTAATGTCAGAGGATGCCCACTGCTCTTGCATCTTGTTACATTGAATGAATAATGGATCCTGAACATTGAAAACCTACAAATTGAATAGAAAAAGTAAGCACAAGTAAAACATGTACAAGTGCACAAGAAAAAAGGTAGGATAAGTAAAATATTAATATAAGTAAAACGTTATTACCACCATTTATGGGATCATCATCATCTGCATAGATAAAAGCAAATTTCCAAATATGTCTAATAACGTAGCATCCACGCTCTGCCTTCCTTAACATTCGAGACTCCAAATTAATCTATAAGTCAATTAATATTACATACCATACATGTAAACTATAATGGGTTATGTTTTTTTGTGTAGCTTCTCTCAAGTGAAGTTGGGCTCAATGAAATACTCCTTAAAATCTTTCCACAAGGGTTCAAAAGGAACGGACGTAAAAAATCGTATTCTTCAAATTCATAAAAAAGACCCCGAATGTAATTTGTTTTTCATAAAATTATAAATATAACCCCGTTTTCTCTTTTAATGTCGGTGTTTCTTACAACCCTTATAGAATAGGATTTTTAATTTCAATTTGTACCCACCAAAGTGACAAGAACCTTTAATTATTTATGAAATAGACCCCGCTCCTACTTACTATTACGGTTCCTAGCTACCTCATATGAAAGACTAGTTATAGAACATGTATTTTGCACTAGTGATAACAACACCATAATGAAGTACTAACTGTTCTGCTATGTTAACTCCAAGATTAACATAATTGTTTTATATTTACCAACTGTTTCATCAACCACCAACTACAACATGGAAATACAAATGAGAATATATACCAACAAATAATGGTCAATGTTAAAGCACCATAAACTAAACCTAATGAAGCAACCAAATGTCACTATTCCTCATCTTCTCTCCCACAGGTCCACAACTCCACACCGGTTAATGACAGCTTAATGAACTGTCATCAAATTTGTTGCTCTCCTCCTCCTCTTCCTCCTCCTCCTCCTCTTTCCCTTCATTTGATTCTTCATATGTTTGATATCCTTTAAGGATACCACCAATGTTTACTTCAGCAAGATTCATCTCTCACATGTTCAATAGCAGATTCAGAACCCAACCCATTATCGATTTCAGCAAACTATGAGTCTGGCACACTACACCCTTCTATTAGGAGAATTAGAAAATGTTCATCCAGTTGATGATCAACATACAATTCAATATCATTAATCCAAGATAATCTTCTAATACGATTTAGGACCTTCCTTATTGTGTCATGATAAGTCCGTATTTTGACACGCATTTGATGTGTGTTGAGATCGGCTTTTTATGATTTTCCTATCTTTAAGGTGTTACAAGTCTCAATTTTAGCTCAAGTTATGTTTACCGGGCGTTGGTTCGAGTTTTGTGTTGTTTGTAGTCAAAATCAGGGAATTTGAGCCTGGTACCCGGCACTTGAGGAACAATCGGGATGATTTGAGAAGCATTTGAGAATGATTTGATAGCTTTGGAGGTCACCGGAAGATTCACAATGAAGATTCGAAGGAAAAAGAGCTCTAGGATTGGCTACGGGGTCAAAAGAAGATGAATGAAGCTTGAAAACGACGATCAGGATGACCTTCTGTCAATCAGTCAAGCATATCTCTTTGTAGAAACATCCAATGTACACGATTCAAGTTCCATATGAAAGCTAACTTCAAGGGATACAAATGATATGAAGACACCTTTGCGAGAATCTGAGAGGAAGAAGGTGAAAACAGACGCTGAAGTCAGATGATCTCTGCTGCGATTTCAGAAAGACACCTTCCACCGTTTTGATCATATCTCTTGATTGGATGATTCAAATCACATTAGGCAACTTGGGGTGGATAGAGGACTTCATTGTCTACAACTTTCATGAAGGAATTATTGCCAAATTCGGAAGTTAAGTAGGCAAGATCGTGCCCTCAAAGTCAGGCACGATCGTGCGTGAAGAGAAAGCACCGCGGAGTTATTGCCAGCCAGGCACGATCGTGCCTGGAGGGAGGCACGATCGTGTCTGCCCAAAATGCGCGTTTTTGCTCCGGAGGCACGATCGAAGGCACGATCGTGCCTGGCTCCGAAAATCCTAATTCAGCTCAAATTTCACCCGATTTTTCTATTTAAACAGCCTGTAAACCCCCGTTTTCAAGGGGGAGCTTAGAGAGAGTGCCTAGCACGAATTTTAGAGGGCTTTTCAGCCTTGTTCATCAATCTTTTGGTATTCTTTGTAAGTTCCGTCTTTTTAATTAATGACAATTAATTCTATTCTTCCCAATTCTATTGATTCTTCAATTATGAATTGTGAGTAGTTTAATTAGGGATTGGGATTGATGAAGGGGTTGATCATGATGTATGGCTAGTTTCTGGATGGATTAATTGCATGAATGCCGTTTAATTTGTGTTTGCATAATTTAACTGATATCTTTTGTAACCTAGAACGCGCGCTAGAATTACAATTGGTTGTAGAATAAATTAAGAGAGATCTAGTTTATTCTAGGACACATTCACACACACTTAATCGTTCACTAAGAGATTAGTAGCGATTAAGGGGCCGTAAGCTCGCTCGTCTTGGCAATAATTTAGGATCCTGTCGCATGAGAGATCAGCCTGGTCCCCTAAATTATTGTACTCTACGCCGCGAGAGCGGTAAGAACTTAGTAATGATTAGCTAGGCTCAATTAAATTAATTTCATGTAATTAAGCCTGATCTGCCAGAAATCTGGTTACACCGGAATCAATCCCTGTTCCCTTCGTCATTAATTAGAAAGAACCCTCTAGTTTAATCGTTTTATTCGCATTAGTTTTATTTTCCAAACCAATCATATCTCACACGACGCATTTATTTAATTTATTTCTTTTAATCGCTGAATTTAATTAATTCTTGATTCCCTTTTGTCCGTCCCTGTGGAGACGATACTCGTACTTACACCACTATATTACGATCTATTTTAAGTGCGAGAAAACACACATCATGTCATCATCTTGAACTAAGAACAATCCATTTTCCATATCTTTTCCAGGATCTAACACATAAATGTTTTTAAGAGTATTATACACAAATCATCCATGTATTTCCGACATATGTCATGATAACACAAATAATCAGGGTCAAATCCATATATTGTATCCACATCTCCATTAACATACTATAAAGGTTTGAACACCCACCTCCCGCTATTGTTAAACCTCAGATTGACCAACCCACTCATTTTTACAGTAAAAGTTACATGAACGGAGTACCTTGGAGCGTTTGAACATAGTCCATCAGTAAACGTAGAACTTTAGCTTCTAATCTTCTCAGGCGACTCGCACTTACTGTCCATGAAAATTCACTTAGGGTTACAATTGGAGATTGTGTGTTTAATCGCTGGGAAATGGGAATGTTAGTGGGGTGGTTTAAAATTAGTGTATAAGTTAGAATATGAGTTTATTTAGTCTTTCAAAAACTTAAGTGTTCAATCCGAGATTCATTAAAAATCTTATGTCCTCTCTTTATAATAATATCAAGAAAGCATACAAGACAACCCTCTATACAGTTATTACAGATCTGATCGTAAGCCCTATGAATAGACATAAAGTCAGTCACCTCATACAAAGCAATCTGACTCGCTAGACACGAAACATGCAATTTTAAGCCTGAAACGACCAGAACCGAAACACTGCTTGTCATCAGAAGTATTCCAAATATCCGGATATCTAAACCAAACCTCCCCCCTCAAACAAAAATAAAAACAAGTATAATTAAAGTACAAATAACACTGAAATAAAGTCATTCCACAAAACTTTTTTTAACACGGAAGTTGTTCCGAAAGAGGATGAGCTGCTTGAATGTGGGTGCCAAATTCTTCTTCTTACTTCATTCTGGATAGATGTGGAAACATGTGAAGTCAAAAATAATATTTATGCCTATACCATTCTCCACGCAACCCAAAAGAAGGCAACCACAAAACCCTGACTAGACGAAGCTGGTTGTCGCACCAAAGCAACTCTCCACACTGAGGGAGACAAAACACACCGGAGCGCCAAAGCGCGGGAAAGAACCACCATAGAACAGAACAAACACAACAACCAAAGAAGAATGGTCAAGTCAGGTCATACCTTTACCAAAAATCTTTGCGAGCGGATGTCATATTACCTTCCAAATAGGATTTACCGGTGGACGTAGCTCAACTAGTAGCGAGAGAGTGACACAAGGGTTAGGTCTCAGGTTCGACTCTCGGCAACTGCGACGAGAGGTTACTCAATAGAGGGCCTCTGCAAGTACCAATAACGTAACAGAGTCCCACTCTCTATCTGTGAGATTGTGATTATAGTCCAATTTACATCCTCACATCATGTCGTCCGTTCGGTGTTGAGGGCTCTCAGGGATGGGGTGTCATCGTTTTTTTTCAAATAGGATTTTGATGACGATTGTTAATTATCATATGGACAGGTAAATATGGAAGTTAATATTCATTTGATCATATGGATCTCTATACTCTAACATGTCCTCTGACAAGGTACGGAAAACCTACAATTTCTCTAAAAATAAAAAGAGTTTTTTTGGACAATTCTTTCTAACCTATATAGTATCTGCTCAATGTTAATGCTAACATCCTTGAACTGGGATGAGATTCGAACCTAAGACCACAACCTAATTGAAAAAAATGAAAGAGTTTTTTTTTAACCAAAAAAATAAAAGGAGTTAAAAACCGGATTATATCAAATTAAGTGACATTATCCGAACTCCAACTGACTCCTATGGCGGAAACAAGACGACTGAGGGGTCATAAAGCGACTGCCACATGCTGCATCGCTTCCCGAATCCGCCCTGGCCTAGTAGCTACAGCGGCTGAGGTGACCGCTTCCCTTCCATATACTTTTTTCATTAGTAGTAATTCATTCTTTTCGGAAATTTGGGTAATATCCTTAATTATTATAGGACTCAGCTTTAAGGTTTAGTTTCTTATTGTCTAATCCTTATGATTTACGCTTTCGATTTCAAGCGATTCAATTGATCTTAATTCAACCATAGGATGGCAACGTTTGCTGGTTTGATATGCGGTGCAAAGATATGGTTTTTACTACGGATGTTGGGAGTCATTATCCAATTTCATCAATCTGTTTCAACCCAGGTTACTTTTCTCCCCTAAGTTGTGCTTTCAATTTTATCATCTGTTCTTGCATTGTTCCCCTTGCTCTTATGTAAATATGCTTGTATTATGATGTGTTCTTAGTGAGTATTATGTTTACATATCATGGATGCTGGTGAAATTAGATAAATAAATACTGTATTCTTATTCATACAAGTAAAGAAAATTTATGGACAATCATCTCTTTAGTCCAAGTAGTAACTTTAGGCCCCGTTTAGTCCAGGCAGTCCTTATGTTTTTTAGCAGCATAGTATTGTTGAGCACATTTATTAGAAGTATAGTTAACTGATATATGTGACAAAAAGAGACTCAAATATAGTTAGGGGTGGACACAAAAACCGGAGCAGAAAAACTGACCCCAAAAAACTGAAAAGTCTATTATTTTCAGGTTCCCGAACTGTTTTTTTTTTACAACTTGTGATGCGGTTAACCGACCGATAGAGATATATTGTTCATGGTGTGGTTACGGTTTTTGAAAAAACTTGTGGTCGGATAACCAAAAAACCGGAACATTAAATATACTCCATTCCATAATATAACTCAACACTTTTGAAATACTCTTTAGTAAAAAGCATTATGGCCTTCAATCAAAATTTAAATTGTGTTGAAATATTGTTATTTGATTAAATGTGAGTTTATAGTATTTAAAAGATTGTTATGTAAATATTAGTCTATGTTAAAAGATAGAAAGCGAAAAGATATAAGTTTGGTAGAAGAAAACTAGTCCAATTTTGTAACCTAATTGTAATTTGATACTATTTTAAATGACCATGTATCATTTAATAAATGTGATATGTGCAAGGAAATTTTATATTATTCTTACTATTATTATTCTTATGTATGCCTCAAGCAGCTTCTTAATTACTACTACGTATTTATTTCTTTTTATAATTAGGACTCTTGTAATAGTTATATAAGGGTCATTAATACTATTCAAAAAATAGTTTGGGAAGAAGTAATTCTTGTGTTTCCTGACAAGGCCTGGCACCGATTCGATTAATTCTAGCTTAGGCTTATTTTACTAATTCTCTCTCAAATTCTCTAGATCTGAAAGGAGATCCCAAGTGCACCCGTAACAATTTGGTACTAAAGCTATTACGTTCCTGCATAATTTATCTAACTCTGACTCCTTTCATTTCGTTTTCTTTGTCCAGAAAACCAAAATTTATGTACATCTTTGCTGCCCCAATTCCCAACTAATATGCAGCAGACCACTGTAGAGAAGACACCCCTCAGACCATCATCAGTTTTCATAGCCCTAATGTCACTGAGTCTGTTTCCATAGCCCTGCCCTAATCACAATTACGAGGAACAGCTCAAAACAAAATAGAAATCTCGTGCACTTCTTTTGCTTGAGGAATCCCTAGTTCACTGCCCCTAGTAGTCTTCAACTCCAAGCCATTGCGCAAACCAATTAGTTATTTCTGTTGTGATTTTTCTTTTAGAAGGGCCCAAAAATGGATTACCAGGCTCTGCATGTCACCGTCTCTCAATTATTTTGTTTTGTTGATGAGTATGATTTATTATGTGCTTTCGGTGAAATATCGATGCAGCATATTAAGATTTTGAAATTTTGAAATTTGACCGATTTGAACTCCAAGTTGTAGTATATTTTGATTCCTTCCTGGACACCATAACTGCCCTCTTAGAACTTCAAGGGAATAATATTAATGTAAGTGGTTGCAACATGAAAAACTGTACTCTTCCCTCTGACATCACCATCACTCATCATCAATTCCACACGACCACACCCAACGACTTCACAGCCGCTTTACTATCCACAGAAAACCCGCCTCCATGTGACCACATCTATCGTTGCCAAATATGCCACAACTACTTCAACTAGTTCCCTAGCAATTAACTACGTCACTGGAAAAATAGCCTCCACCAACTCCCTTGCTTCCAACTTCGGTTGCACCACTAGAAAAGCTAAAGATGCTGAAAACTCCTCTTTTTGGATGGCTTTTTACACGAGACGGGTTATCTCTGCCATGTGCCAAGGTCACCATGCCACTTCTTTCTATACTAGATTTGGTAAGCTATGCTACACAGATTCAAATAGCGGAGGAAGTGACACTAAAACACGTTGATGTAACTGCATCTGAGGTTGTAAGCCCGTTGAATAGTCCGCAATTTCAGCAACAACATTGCATTGGCAATTTCCCTTGGGCCTAGGTTGGAACCTATTATGCTACACTTGGTATCTCATCTCTTTGGGAAAAGTACTGAACCCGCAATGGAAGGATTTGATGGCCTCTTATCGCATCAATGAGGTACTTTTGAATTTTTGATGGAATTGTGCATATGGACCAACAACTCAATTTTCACACTCCATTTTCCAGTTTCTTCAGTCAAGAGGCCAACCTAGTTACAAGATTCACATGGAAGTGTCCAGTCTCTGTATGTAATCACATTGGTTATGTACAAACTAGGACCTCCGCCCCATTAAGTTTGGTACAAAAGAAGGTTTTGTGGTTATTAAGAAAAATAAGTTTATGTGGTTCATATCTATGAAGCACGAAAACGTCAATCTCCTTCCAGTTTCCGTTCCGGGTCCTGGAAACGTTTCGGAAACGAGAAACGCCGGGGAAACGCTGGGAAACGTTTCTGAGCTATTGGGCTTTCGGGCTGGGTTTGGGAAACGTTTCTGAAATGTATTTTTAAGTCAATTGACGCGTTTCTGAAATTTAAAAAACAAACCTTCTTCGTCCAGTCTGCCGCACGCTATCCAAAAACGAAGTTCGTTCGCAGACCTTCTATGAGACTCCCCAGTCCCCAACTCCCCACTCCAAAGAGAAGGTTGATGACTCGGCGGGAACAACAAACATTCTGTGTCGGACTTGAAGGCCTGAAGTAGCCGGTGACAAAGCCAGACGCTAGACGCAGAGGCGAGATAGTGTTGGACTTGAATGCTTGAAGCAAAGCAACCGACTATTACTTCATCCTTATTTCAGTGAGGCGGTGAGCCTCAATTTAATTGGTGCAACAAGCCCACAGTAACGTTAGTAGAATGGATTACAATAAAGATATATGTTTGATTTATTTATTTCATATTTGTTGGACTTAAACATGAACTATCATCATCATGATTACCCCAGTGCCACAAAGGCTTCCACCTACGGTGGGGTAAGGGGGGGTCGGATGTACGCAATTTTACCCTTGTACTAATGTAATTGAAATCAATATGACCTAAACATACCGTTTTTTTTATCCTTAATTTTTTTTAAACGCTCCATTTTATTAAAATAAGAAAGAGCCAAGGCTCAAATTACAATGTTCACAAAGCAAAAACGAAAAGTGAGAAGTAGAGATTAAAGAAATTGAGCATAAGCCAAAAGTTCTGATCTGGCCCAAGGAATTCGAACATGATGTTCCAAGGGGAATGTCGGTCGATCATTAGGGGAGAGCATTGTTTGTGTTTCCGCTTGATCCCCAAAAGAAATTAGAGAAAAATCTGTTGAGCATAGTAATGACCGTAGCTGGGAACTTTGTAACTGCCAGATGGTGCATAGGCAGCGCATTTAACACGTGTTTAATTAGTATTAATCTGCCACTCTGATTGAGAAGTTTCCTCTGCCAAGTCATCAGACGTGATTCAATGGTTTGCATGATTTTGACACAGTGAGGAGCCCGGGTTATTCCCTGATGAAGAACTGCTCCCAGATATGCCAATGGTAAGATTCCAAATGACATTTTTGACTTTCTTTCCAGTTCTTTCCTTTTCGCCGCAGATGTGTTTTTACTGACAATCAGGTTGCTCTTGTTTAGGTTAACCTTCTGTCCTGTGGCTTGTGAGAATATCTTCAGAAAATCCTTTAGGTGATTGATAGAGGAGGAGCTCCCGTTCATGAAGAGTAGAAGGTCGTCGGCATAACCCAGCTGGGAGGTCGGGCTGGGGTGTGCACCAATATAATAGGGTTTTATTTTGTTGCTTTGTAATAATTTATGAAACCCCCTAGTAAAGCTTTCAAGCACAATGATGAATAGGTATGGGGAGAGCGGATCACCCTGTTTGACCCCTCTCTGTGGCTTGAAACAAGCCACAGGGTTGACCATTTATTAGAATGGATATGCGGTTGCTAGCCAAGTTGGTAACTATGAGATGAATAAATCTCTTGTCGAAACCCAGCTTGGTTAGAACTGCCTCAAGAAAGGACCACGAAACTCAGTCAAATGCCTGTGCCAAGTCTAGTTTGACCGCCACATTCCCACCTCTTACCTTGTGGTCTAGGTGGTGGATGATTTCTTTGGCCAACAAAATATGGTGATGCATGTTTTCCCCTTCCATAAAGCCGATTTGCTCCCTAGAAATTAGTTTTTTGAGAAGGGGTTTTAGTCTGTTTGCCATGATTTTGGTGCAGACTTTGTTTAGGAAGTTGGTTAAACTGATGGGATGGAATTGAGAGAAGAGTTTAGGATTTTGCACTTTAGGGATTAGGGTGATTAGGGAGGTAGTAAGGGCTTGAGGCATGGGTATGCCCAGGAAAAATTCCTGAACTGCCAAATATAGGTCGTCTTCAATAATCTCCCAGCAAGTTCTGTAAAATACACCATGGAATCCATCAGGACCAGGGCTGCTGTCTTGGCTAAGAGACCAAACTGTATCCTTTATTTCTTGCTTTAGTGGGATAGACAACAGAAACAAGTTATCCTCTGTAGTAATGGTAGGGGACAGTTGGTCTAAAAGTAACCCGGGGTCCGTACCCTCCTCCTTCTCGTATAGAGACTGGAAATGGTGTACTGCAGCTTTCCCAATATCCTCCTGGGTTTGGTAGATATTGCCTTGAGGGTCTTCAATATAGCCGATTTGTTGCGCCCCTCTTTTTTGACGCACATAATTATGAAAAAATTTAGTGTTGGCTTCCCCTTCGGCAAGCCATCTGATTTTTGCCCGCTGCCTCCAGAAAGATTCCTCCCGTTTGAGTCTAAGAAGTAATTCAGCCTGTGTTCTAGACCATTCGGTGCGTGTGGTGGGTGACGGGAAGTTGATAGGGACCTACCTAGTAGATGAATAATAATAATAGTTGTAATAAGAATAATAATAAGTAATAAGAGTTTGGGAGTATTCTAGTATAAATAGACACGAGGGGGAGTTAGCAGTAGGCTTTTTGGACATTTGTCTAGGACTGGGAAGATCTGAGAAGTCTGTTTCTCTTATCTTTGGGGGTTCGGCCTTGGTTACTGTTACTGTTCATCATCTCCTTCAATAAAGATTTCATTGTTTTCTTGATATTAGTTTCTGTAAATCTCTGAATATTTGGAGGTTTCTAACAGAAGTTAATGTAGTCCTCCTCTGCCTGCGCTGCCGAGAACTCAGCAGCCCTTGCTTCTGCAAAAACATCTCCAAAAATGTTTTTATTCCAAAGTTTAAGTGCCCGTTTTGTTGCCTGAAGTTTATCGTAGAATTGGCGCATCCCTCGCCCTCTTTGGAAGGAATTCCACGTTTTAGATATTGTTTCGAAAAATGTGTCGTGAGTAACCCACATATTTTGGAACCGAAACGATTTGGGACTTGTGGATGAGCGCTTAGTACAGGAAATGATGAGTGGTGTATGGTCTGAGGAGGCCCTGCTCAAGTGATTTTCCGTAATAATGTCAAATTGATCAAAAAAGAGTTCACTGGCCAGAAATCTATCAAGCCTGCGCCATACCCTGCCTGTTGAGCCTTGAGCGCACCCCCATCCAGGTGAACTTTGACCCCGAAAAAGGAATTTCCCTCAAATTGCACTGGTTAATACAATCTGAAAAGTCATGTATATCCACAACCTTAGGAATCACTTTACCACAAAAATCGTTGAGGGATGCAATGACATTGAAATCTCCTCCAATTAGCCACGGTAGGTTGTGTGTATCATTCCAGTTTCTGAGTTCAGTCCACAGTCCTTGCCTTGCCAACCTGGTATGTTTTCCATAGACCGTAGTGAATACAAAGGTAAAACCTGAAAGTTTTTCCTTAATGCATGCGTGAATACATTGGTCTCCATCACAAACATACTCAACTGTGAAATGATCTTCGTTCCAAAATAACCAGATCTTGTTGTCCCCCTTTGTGTATACATTACTAAATCCAAGCATAGATTTATAATGATCAGCTTTCACAGTGAGTACCATAGGCTCAATAACTGAAACTAATGAAATTTTCCACTGTAACAAAATATTATGTAGTTTTAAACATGACCTAAGCATACCATTTTTTTTGCTTAAACGGTATCCGATTAACCGATATTATGCTACGAGCCTCCAGATAAGGTAATTGAAATCAGTCATTTTAGCCAAACAAATCACTGAACACTTCCCATTCAACCAGTTTAGCCGATTCAGCCATTACAACATTCACCAAACGTGCTCTATGGAGTGTTAATCCAGAGGGCGACAAACAGTCCCCACACACCCATCCACCCACCAATTAGGTGTTAGCTAGAGGTGATTGAACTGAGAATGAGAGAAAGTATCGTATGAAATAGAAAATAATACATTTATTAAATTGTCTCAAGAAATGAAATATTGAGCAGTATGATTTATGGGGAATAACTACAAATATTTCACTCCCTGGGATTCATAGTAATCCACTTTGATCATAAAGTTATAACTTATAATCACATACATTTCTAATTTCTATGCATAAAACATCCTTAAGTTGAGCTTAAGTGATGTCATAATACTAATTTAGGAATACTTTTTAAGTATGCTAACAGATTTTGTGCTGTATTATTAACCAGTGGCAATAACTTTTCACTAAGAAAGTATAAGGAGAAAATTGCTAATAGCATAAGAAGATGTTTTTCTTACATTACTTGGCGCACTGCGAATTTCCAGTGATGTTGTTCTTTTTGAAGACTTATTCTCAAACTTTTGGTTCTCACTCGCTGTAGGAAATGAAGATATAATTTATGCATCATCAGGAAATGAAGTCAAGTGTTTCGAAGTGAAGATGGTATTTTCCCATTGGTCATAGCAGAAATACATCCCACTGATTAACCATTATGTTATTTCTTCCATTAGTCCCTTACCGTTTACCTCCCCACCCACTCTTGATGGATTGGGTAGCACTTTTTGTTTGATTGTAATACATTACTATCTATCCTCTATACAACATTCCCTTTCTTAAATTTCGAACACTCTTTATATGCTATACTTTGAAGTTCGAAGAGTATTCTCTTTTATTATTTCTTTACTTCATTGAGAATATCTTTTACCATTCTAATATGAAGGGCAAGTCATCAAAACCATTGGAGAGCTACAATTACAACAAGGATGAAATAAACCAGGTCATATGCCATTTAATTCCTGTTATAGTAGTTAGATCCGTCTCTTGGTAGCTCTGATTTGTCAAGTGGATTATGATGCCTACAGATGTTATAACTTCATTCTGCATGTGTGTCTTTACTGTTGAAATTTAGCAAGTAAAACTGTTTTGGAATAATAATAATAAAACTAAGTTGATGTATCTCAGATATTCTAAAAAGTAGAGACAATGCTTAGTAATATTGAATTGTTATATTTTCAATAGATGCTACTCCAACTTTTTGCTATGTGTGTAAAAGACTGAGTGATGCATCTCTTAAATGAATTGAAAGGTGGGGAGAGGAGGCAGGGAGGAGAGGGAGGAGACGACCTAGACAGACGTTGATTAGAGTGGTGAAGACTGAAGAATGATATGGTACTTCTTGGGTAGATGGGAGTATGATTTTGGAAAGAGCGAAATGGAGGGAGAGTATACATGATTACATGTGGAGGATTGATTTGTTTGACTCTCTTTATCTTTTTTAATTACTATTCGTTGTGTTTAGCTGTGATGTCATGTGCCAATTCATGTTAGTCGACCACAAACTCTTTGGGGATTAAGGCTTGGATATTGTTGTTGTGTAAAAATAATTCAAAAGTAGATCAAAACTGTTGATATATAATGTAGGAAATTATGCATTTTGAGTTTTTATCTTAGGGATGATATAATTCAACCGTCATTACTCATTCCCTCTCTATGAGTGTGTGGAAGCATGTGATAGAGCATTATATTAGGCTATCAGGCAATTTAGGCCTTGTCTGACTTTTCATATGCACTCCAATTTTTCCCCTTAGTAGGGATAGACATGCTGTGAGTTGAATACTACTCCTGTCCAGAAAAGAAGTTCCCACTTTCATTTTTGCGATGTAGCAAAATGAAATTTCTGTTTCCAAATAAAGAATATTTTAATAGAAAAATGTCACAAACACCCTTACTTTTGACTTGCTTTTTTCTTAATTTAACATTAAGTAGGGTATAATTAGAAATTCAAAGCAAAACTTTATCTTGCATAAATATGTGTAGATCAAACCAGGAACATGTTTGTGGGACGGAGGGTGTATTATTTTACAAGCGTTCTATCATAATTTGTGTGTCTGTGTGTGTGTTTTGATGGCAGATTGCTTGCACTGCAAGTTCATCTTTCCTTGCTGCAGCAGATGACAGTGGAGATGTCAAGGTATTTTAGCCAATTGCAGCCTTAATATACTCCAATGTTTTCCAATGGCAAACTAGCTTTCTGGAAAAAATTTGGGTAGCTTGTAATGTTTTTAAAATGGAATATGTTCGATCAAAGTAGCCAAAGTTATGCAGGGTATTAGTTGATCTTTCTGTGAGTTCTTGGTCCGTATGCTGATTGTTGCTTCATTGCAGATTGTTGATATCCGTCGACATTGCCTTTATAAGACTCTAAGAGCAGGTCATACAAGTGTATCCTTTAGCAACTTTTCAAGTGTGCAAAGGCTTGTGTCCTAAGTACAAAGTCTACAGCAGTATCATGATAATATATTTGCCCTTTGAGACTATGACCATTATTTCTTTAAAAATGTCTTTACATATTTATCCCCACTCTGTATGTGACTTTGATCTTTGATATTCTTCACTATTTATTTAGATTTGTAGCAGTGCTCAATTTATTCCCTGGAGACCTTGGGAAGGTACCTTTTAATAGTATATTCTATTTTAATAGTATACAGAGCAATTATGAAATTATTATAAATCTTAAAAATATTGTCTTCTTTATGTTGAGTCCTTGTGATGGTAACTCAAGTCAATTCTTAACACATAGGAAACTACATAAAGAAAAGGGAAAAATAATAAAAATACCCCAAACTTTAATGGGTGTGAGGTAAACACCCCAAACTTGCATATGTAATTTAAATATCCCAAACTTTATATAAAAAGTTATTTTCGCACCTTTGTCATGTATTATTTATTTTAAAAATGTAAATCTATGGAGTTAATTGTATAACTTAAAATAGCAAATTAAAAGTGTTGCAATTATATAGATTGGTGGTAACATTATTTACTTTGCAATGGAAGTTTAGAATGTTAATTGTGTCTTCATGAATTCTAAAATATTTTAAATTATGCAATTAACATCACAAATTTACATTTTTGAAAGAAATAATACTTGACTATGGTGCTAATATAAATTTTTATATAAATTTTGGGGTATTTAAATTACATATGCAAGTTTGGGGTGCTCATCTCACACCCCTTCAAAGTTTGGGGTATTTTAATTATTTTTCCCTAAAGAAAACTGGTTATTTTTTCTTCAGTCAGAAGATTCATGATGCTTCAGATTTAAATTTTATGGGTTTTCCTTTGACATCTTGTTAATCTTACCACACACACACACATTCTATTTCATTCAAAATATGTTTTGGGATTAAATTTTAGTATTTCATATCCAATTTCAGTTGTTTGTTGTTCCATTCTTGTACACTGCAGTCGTTACTGGTGGCCTTGATTCAAAACTTGTTGTATGGGACTTCTCAAAGGGGCGACCTAAGAATATTGTGGACTTTGGTAGAAGCTTCACTAATAATCTCTTCTTGTTTCATAGCTGTTCATTAGTTTTAGTATAGAGCTCACCGGTGTTGTGTGAATGAGATTTATAATTCGTATTGGATTTTGTATACTATTATTCATTTTTTTTAAAGCACTACGAGCTAGAGTGGGCCTAGTGTGCAAGAGGGCTCAAGCTGCGCATTAACAGGATTTATAAATGATGTAGCAAATACATTAATGAAGGTTAGGATATCTGTAATAGACAACATAATTGCAACAGTATTTCATTATATGATTATGATGCTCTGTAGACATGAGGTAGATTTCCAGTTGGTTAGTGAATTCTTTTTCTTTATTCACATGTGATCAACTCTGATATTTCTCGTTCATTGTAACAATGTTGTGAGGCTGATAACCCTTAATTGTTGTTGGCTTTGTTTAAATTCAAATATAGAAGTAGACTTCAAAGGAAAAAGTAGCTCATATCAGTTTTGCCAACTCTACAACTGAAGTATTTTTCCAATTCTTGTATACGATATGGCTAAATGAACACTTCTTGTCTTGACATTGATATAGCAGAAGCGAAAAATAAAGATAACCAGGGACAGTGCTTGAACCCTTCTTTTGTCCACGCACTGGCACTTCCTGAAGTTGACATGGTGGATAAAGTGGGGAAGTATTGTGCTGTGGCTAGGGGTGATGGTGTTGTTGATATCTTGAATATCGATTCGGATCTCAATTCTTCTTCTAAACCATCAAAGCGCTCTTCTAAACCCAAGGAAGCTTCCCTAGTGGGGAACTTGAGACTGGATCACACTCTAGGAGGGCATACTGCAGCAGTTTCCTGCGTGTAAGTTTTCTTTATCAGTTGCTCAACCTGTTAAGCTTGTTTGGTTGGAGGGTGGTTGGATTGTGTTATGAGAGTGGTTGTGATATGATAGAGTGGTCCTTCACAAAAAGCCTAGAGAGATTCGACCTTGTCAAAGTCTATCTAAAGTAAGCTTTGCAAGTACGTGATACTATTGATCAAATAATTGAACCTCCATTTGTACTGCTCACATAGTCTACATGTGAATGTAATTAAAGAAATGTACAATTGGAATATTGATACTATATTACTAATATATTAAGTATAGTTTTAGGCTCGTATTAAATTCATATTTGCTTTTCTAATTTATCTCTATTTGTCAAACACAATAACTTCAACTTTAGTTAAATAATGTACTAAAATAATTATTTAAACATGTGTGTATAATGTAAGAACACAACAACAAAAACGACCACAACAACAAAAACAACAACAATAATAATATCTCACACCTGTCTCAGAATTCCTCCAACCAAACAATTGCTTAGGTCACACTAAGTTGGCTTAAATAAGATTTCCTGGTTTTTCTTATATTAGCGCATTTTCACTGTTTGGAGGAGAGAAGGGGAAGTTTGTAGTTTCGGGTGGGAACGACAGGCAAATAAGGATTTGGGATTGGTTAAAAGCTGTTACTGATGATGGAACAACCACCAGTGCAGATGTTTTGCATCTCAAATTAAATTTAAGCAGAAAAGTAAGTTTGAATTTAATGCAGTAATGTTTTTGTGTGTTCTTGAATCATATACATACAAATATACAAACACATGCATGCACATATATAGAGTTCGATCCCAATAAAAAAGTGGAGTTCCCGTGAAAGTGCGAACAACTCTACTTTTTATTGTATTCGGCCCACTGTTTCATCCTGATGATTTTTGGTCTGCAATTGTGATCAGATACAGTTTACACTGATATATTCAAGAAGTGCAATTTTTGCAATGAACAACTTTTTTGTACTAATTTTCAAAAATACCATTGCGTGTTTGTACAATGCATTTTTAATATATCTAGAACCATTAGATCAAAAACTCAATGAGAGCCCATATTAAAATGAGAACTTATAATGAGAACTTTAATAGTTTAATCTCAATCTTTCATTTTACCCCAATGATTTTAATTGGTTATCAAATTAGTATATCAAATTAGATGAATGATAATGGTAAGAAATGAGAATGCATCTCAATCTCTCTACATATATATGTATGTTTAGGTTCAAATAAAAATCTTCTTCTCATGTGCAAAATGCAACCTGATCAGGACCATTAGATTTATGGTCTAAGGTTTCTAAATGTGTTAATAATGCATGAACATGATTCAAAAACAGTGGAATGTTGGTTCATAAATAAACCAAATTTTGTAGTCACCACAAAAATTGTAAGACTTCGAATGTGAAGCTGTGAAGATGCATCCGTGTTCATTTTGCACCCTATATACACACACAAACACAGACACACATGTATATTGTATAGCTGCTTATGATTAATAACATTTACAAATTCAGGTGAATTGGCTTTGTACTGCCCCGACTGACTCCGATAATCTGGTTGTGTGTGATACATCCAAAATGGTTAAGGTTTATACAATTGCCTGAATGTTTTATTGTAGCATTTATAATTGTATTATTCCCGGAACAAGCTAGCCTGGGGTCATATTCAACTGCAAGGCTGGGGGTGGGACTGTGGGAGTGAAGGTTTTACCATAGTGGTAACTGATGGGTGCAAAGATGTGCGAGTTTCAAAAGATGTCCAGTGACTTCAAATTTAAAGCATTAGATGTGTAAGTGTACTTTAAATTGTACCCCCACCCCAAATAAATCCCATAAAATAAATTATTGTCTTTAATACTGCATTTAGTAGTATGAACATGAAATGTCACGCGAGTATGTTATTCTTTTTTTATAAATATAATAGCTGAATTTTAGAATTAAGAAATCATATGTGGTAATAAAGACTACAACTTGTGTGAGGGTTTTATGGAATTACTGTGGGGCAGTGCCAAAATAATAAGACTTGAATATAATTGTTTTCATAGGAAATCTGACTTTTCTTAATTTTGTAGTTCAAATTTTTTTCATTTTTCCATTTGGCTCACCTAATAGAGTAATAGCTAGGGCATAGTTAGGAGCAAAAGTTAAGGGGAGCTGTTACAAAAAAAATAGACAAAATTTTATACTAAAACTACAAACAATTTTCAAAGTAATATACTAATATTTCCAGTAGAGCTAGTATTTTCCAATAACAACATCGTCTTCTAAAAAGCTTGGCGAACTCCAGTACCCTTATTTCTTCAATGTTACATGAATTCATCAAGGTATGTGTATCTGATTTTTAATACTCTCTTTGTCCCCTTTTAAATGTCCTGTTTTATCATATTGAGATGTCCCTATTTAATTGTCTCATACCTTATTTGGTAAAGTTTGTGTGGCTCAAAATCATTCTTACTTTATCAATTAATATTAACCACACAAACCCACTTTTCTTAAAACTCGTGTCACACTCTTCTGCCCCAATTAGGGGTGGACTCGGCCCGGGCGGCCCGACCCGGAACCGGCCCGGCCCGGTTACTGTTTGGCCCGGCCCGGCCCGGGGCCCGGTGGGTCCATCGGTTCGGTTTGGCCCGGCCCGGGTGATGGGCAGTCCGGGCTCAGGCCCTGCTTTAGGTGAACCGGCCCGGCCGGTTCGGGCCCGGTTCGGGCCCGGTCCGGGCCCGGTCCGGGCCGAATTTTAATTTTTTTTTTTTGAATTTTTTTTAAGTTTTGGGTTGGATTAGGTATTTTGGGCCATTTGAGGTGGTTTGGGGTTGAGGGGGAGGGGTGGGGGTTAAATAGGAGAACCAAAATAAAAATAAAAAATGGACCGGTTTGGCCCGGCCCGGCCCGGAACCGGCCACCGGCGGTTCGGGCTCAGGCCCCAGTTTTCTGGCCTGAGGCCCAGCCGGGCCCAGGCCCGAACCGGGCCCGAACCGGCCCGGGTCCACCCTTAGTCCCAATATAAAAGGGACGGGGGTAGTACATACATAAAAATTGAAAACTTTGAATAAATTTCAAATACAACTTGGGAATGTAAGGTAAGAATATCTAGAGTATTTGATACGAGAACGTTTCTGATATGTCGATACAGTACCTTACACAAGTATCGGTGCTACATAGGTTTAGGTAAAAGTGCAGATATGCTTATAGTCGCTTTCTTAAAAAAGTTTTTTGAGAAGTCAGGGGAGACTAACTTCTGGAAAATTGATTCTACTTTTGAGTGTTAAAATTCATTTACAAAATATAAGTGTAAGTATAAGTATAGTATATGTATAAGTAGAGTAGTCTTCATGTCAGGCCGGCCTGACGGGATGCTCCGTTCGGCCGAGGGCATTTCGGGCACTTCTCGGTGGAATTTTTTGATGAAATTTTTTGAGCATGTTCTTCATGAAGTCTAGTTTATCCATACCAAATTTCAGCTAAAAATTCAATCGGGAAGGCACTCAAATAATTTCTTGAAGTTAACTGGGCAGTTTATATGTATGAATTGTCCAGTTAACTTAAAGAAATTATTTGAGTGCCTTCCCGATTGAATTTTTAGCTGAAATTTGGTATGGATAAACTAGACTTCATGAAGAACATGCTCAAAAAATTTCATAAAAAAATTACACCGGGAAGTGCCCGAAATGCCCTCGGCCGGACGGAGCATCCCGTCAGGCCGGCCTGACATGAAGATTTGTCTGTATAAGTATAAGTGTAAGTATAAATGACAATGATCATGTAAGGTATATATACCTAAAACTTACACTTTTAGGCCTCTTTCATTTATGGTGCTTCCTGATTGAATTTTTTGATAAAATTTTGTGAGCATGATTTCCATAAAGTGTAGACTATGTCCATCAAAACTCGATCGAGATTATGTCCGCCAAATTTTTTATCGTGACAATCACCATCCGGGAAAGGAATGACGAGTCTAGTTGCTAGCATTCAACAGTTTCAAGTTTTGGTAAATATGTCGTAATGACCTCCACGGAGGTCAATGTGGGTAGCAGCGACTTGGCAAGGGTGGTGGCGGACTGATGGCTATGATTGATTGGTTGGTTGAGGTGTTGGAGACACTTGTAAATTGGTCACTGTCAATGGTAAAGTCATTATGTCGGTGGTGGTCATTGTGGCCTCGAGTAGTAACTGGCCGGGTAGTCAGTGTAACAATGGGTCAAGTGAGAAGAGAATAATATTCCTCTTGATCGTTTTTAATTATTCTCTTTTTTTTTGTTAAAAAATATCTCTTTTTATCCATGGGTTAATTTGTAGTAATATTTTAAATTTAAGGAAAATTCCCTAAACAAAAGTGTAAAAGTTTTGGAATTCCAAAATAACACTGACATGTTTTTATTCCCTAAAGAGAAGTAATTTCTATCACGTTTGACATTATCAGGATTTAAACATCACAATTTTATTTAAAACTTTGCAGAAATAATTCCTATTTAAGGAGAAAAAATATGAATATCCGATTTTAGAATTCCCTAACGTTTTTACTCTTATTCGAAGCAATTTCTATTAAATTAATGGATCCTTTAAAACGTAAGAATTAATGAAGCAGGTACCAGCCGTTGGTTGGTTGGTTAATTGATGTATACAGGATGCAAGTCCAACGACTGTGACAAATAAACTTTCCTAGCTTAAAGTTGCAGCAAAATCTATCTCCGGCCGCCAAGCATTCCATCTCACAAACAACACGTATTTTAGTATATATATTCGTGCAATATAAATCAAAGCTTTGAGAGACGAACGATATATACAGATCATAGACGGCGACGTCGGGAAAGTGTGTGCAGCGGCAGCAGGGTGGCGTTCCAGCTAGCTGCAGGTGCTCGGTTTGTGGTGAAGAGGAAGAGGTCAAAGAAGGCAGCGCTGCAGCTTGTATCCACATTGCCGCTGCCGGTATGCCCGCCCGCCCCCATGCATGCATGCATGCATGCATGCTTAATTTGTCCATATTAAAAACACCCGTTTAATTCACGTTCTAATTCTTCTAATTCCATTCTTTTATAAACTCATCGGCGTCTCATCCACGTGCTATATACTATTTTATTGATTTATACTCCGATGATTGATGATTCCGATCCACTTAAACATTACTCCGTATTATTTTTATTCTGAATTTATTAATTCTTTAGGTTTATCATGATTTTCTAAAAGAAAAAGAGATGACGTACTCTATTCTCTAAGGCTGCTTGCAATCCAAGGGTGAAAAACTATATTACGTGAGCAGAAGTTTTCACTCCAAAAAACACCCCAACCCTATCTATTTGGAGGGGTTAACCGCTAAAGTGGATACATGGCAACCCTATAATAAGTTTTATATTTTTACTTAAATTTTTACAAAATACATATCAAAATTCTTAATTTTTTCTTATCTTTCATATGACATCAATATCAAATTCTCCCTCCGTCCCATTAGATGGTTCCGGTTACGGTTTATGATGTTTGACTGACAATAAAAAAACTTAATCCATGTTCACACCCTGATTATTTTTAGTAAATAAAATTTACATATTCAGAAACTACATTAAAACCGCTAAAAAGCCTGATAAAAAAATTAAAATATTATAAAAGTTTGATATATAAAACAAAAGGATTAAGAATGATTTAAGTTGACCATGTGAATAGTGGACGAAAACCTTTAAATGGGACAGATGAAGTATATAAAACTAGATATAAAAAAGAATTAACTGTTGAAGATTTTTAGACTCAAATTTTCCCTAAATATATTCAAGTGCCAAAACTAAGATCTCGTGATTAAAATATTGTTTTACATCTTTCTCTTATTTTTTCAAAAATGGGTCTAAAATAAAAATAAAATATCCAAATTTATATATTTTTACATCAAAATGTTTGACTTTTTTTAATCTTAATTAATAAAAAAAAATGAAAAAAAGATGATGTATAATACGGAGTAATAAAAACAAGGCTGTAATTAAAAAAACTTGGTAGATGAATATATTGGAGGTGGTTGGATTGTAGTAAAATATGAATTGATGGAGTGAATACGTATAAGTGGGGTTATTATATGGGATGCGAAGCATGTCCATTTTAAATGACATTTCAATCCATTATACATTTTTAAGTTATGTGTTATATTAGTAATTATTATTCACTTTTGATCTTTTCATAATCATGTTTCTTGCTTGATATGTGCTTAAATATATTCAGTACGTATATATATGATGGATGATAATGTCATATTACATCGGTGAACTGTATACATGATATGAAATTGTTTATGTTGTAGGAAACTTGGAAATGGAGGACACAGAAACAGAGGGGTCATACAACAACCACACAACAATACCTACTCAACTTAATAATAGCGAGGTATGAATACAATTACTTTTCAATACTTTACTTATATATATTTCCCACTCAAATATATATAACAAACACATACAATATTTTAATTAATTCATGAGAAACATATAATATAATGTTCACTTTGAATTGTAGGACCTCGGAATTCATGCTAGAAACATTAGCAGCATTTCTACTGTGGACAGTGGTGAGATTTTGTTTTGTTTTTTCTAAATAATAAAGGCTTCAATTTTTGTTGTAATAGTTGAGACTTGAGAGAATAACTTAAAGATTAATATCACTATTCATAATAACATGATGCATGTTATGTTAAAAGAGAGCATTAAATAAGAATTTGATAATTAAGCATGCTTGAGTGTTACTCAAACGTTGCATTCATATTGGAGAAATGCCTAGCTAGAAGAGCTTAAAGTAGTGTTTATTTCAACAATTTAAGAAAGTAATAACCACCTCGGGGTTAGGCGCCGAGATGTTAACTGTAGACTTATTGATCTTCTTGTTATATAACTTCATATATATGTTCAAGAATACAATGACGCATCGAGGAACCCGATTTGGAAGAATAGAGTGGATAGTTGGAAAGAGACGAAGACAAACAAAAAGAAGAAGTTAGAAAAGAAGACCTTA